GGAAATATTTGCAATAATAATAGTATTTGCCTGATTTCATTGCATCATCGTACTACTATAACCGTTGGTATTTCACAATCAACATGAATGGAGTGATTGTTGCAGCTGAAGCGGATTGCGAACGTGAAGTTTCAGGATTTCATTAGCATATGAACCTTTCAGTAAGTAGTGATCAGGCAGAGGCAAAATGTATACAACTAGCAGGACCTGTTGCTTGCGGCTTGCACTTTTAGATCAATAATCACTGAGGACATATCGCGCATTTCGGTGGCACAAAGCATGTTGGCAAACATGTTTTACGATTTGCAATAGTCACTATATATGGTTTCAGGTGAAAACGTACTTGACAAGTTCATTTAGAGCCGCTAACATCGTGGCTCAAACACGGAATTTGTAAGAGAAATGGCTATATTTAGGCGTGACACCTGACTATTTAGTGATGACGTGTTTCTTGCCGCCATCACATTTCTCAGTATTGCCGAGATGTTCAGGACCTATCCACACTTAAACGTTGTGAGTTGGTTGTAGGACAGCTCTGATATTCATACATGTGCTTTGTTTTCACTAATGTAATAGATGTGCACATAGTCTGCCAATTGTTCATAGATATCGATATTAAATACGGAATATATAAACAATATTTTCGATCTGGAACTGCACTACCGCTCCCATATTTTCTCCCGTTCGATTCGATACGAAGCGCAGTCTCACATGAAATATAATCGTAACAAAACGAGGGAGTGAAAACCGGTGAAAATGTTTCGTGATTTAGTTGGTATTAGCTGAGATCAAGCTGCATTATTGTCTTGCAACGAACTGCGGGTCACATGAGATGAAATCCATTGATATCCTCCTAAATAATTGCTCTTTACACCGTTAGTCTGTTACTGTTTCCTTCTGTTATTTTTGAAATATCCCACAAATACTAATGCGAGTATTGCTAATATTCGGCGCATGCTCGATACGGATCTTAAGCATTTTCATACCACAGAAGCACGCATATTGCACAAAAATTATGCAATCACAATTTTTGTTGCTAAGCTTAGAAGATACATAGAAAATAGGCTTTTGGGGAAGAAACTATAGTTCTTTCGCAATCATTCGAGAATTCAAAACCGGATTTTATATTTTGGAAAACGAGACTCAGTCCAGAGAGCATGAAACTAATAAAATTGCCAGTATATTTGTTTTTATATATTACACACTTTCGTGTGATGAACAGCACACGGGATGGAACTCGATAATCACGAGAATCTGCTGTTCGTTGATGGAAATCGGTAACCTAAGGCCCGGGACATGGAGTGGTAAACCACACAAGGCCCCGAAAGTATGGGTGTGGTATTGAATCCAACGACAGCAGAGCTTCCTACCACCAAAGTCGGGTGACGGTGGCGGGTCTCGAACCTCGGACCATGGGGTCTAAAGCACGCACAAGAGCGATGGGAATGATACTTTCAATCATACGTTTTCATCGTGAAAGTGGGGACGAAACAATCCGAAAAAGCTTCATTTGTGAAACACCGCGATAAGCTAGATTGATGAAGGTTTTTTGATCACAAGGATAACGATTCAAACCAAACCCTCACCCAATTCTCATGAGCTGATTTGGTGACTTCGAGTGTGTGCACGAAATGGAAATGCAGCAAACAGATGGCTGAATGGTTATGGTTCGGAAAACCATTGCCACATCATGGAAATAAAACCATTAACACAGAAATCAAATAAAACCGTGCAACATAAAACATTTACAATTGTGTGATTGATTTAGTGTTGTGGAAACGCTTACATGCGATTCGATTCACTGGGATGTAAGATTTTGCATTCAAATTACACAAGTCACTTGAACATTTATTACATTCTATACATTTAATACATTCAAATGTCAATGGGTTAATTGGCTGAGTCACACACAACTAGCTGATGCAGGAGTTTCATCTGAGATCCGCTGCATATTTACCAATTTGCACTCATAGATCCTGAATATAGTAGAAAACGTAACAAATCCAATGCCAGGTGTTACAGCAAAACCGTTATTTCCGTGGCATAGATTGTTCATCAGTATGTCTTATGATCGTCGTTTGACGACGATTAATCTGCAAAATGAGATTCCGTTTTTTGCTGCACGTCGTTCATTATTTACGTTATAGGAAGCGAAAAAAGCATGGCAACTATCGCGCTTGCATAACTGGAACCGATGATGCTCGCCTATGTCAAGTTAGAGCGTATTGTTCTTGCACGATGCACAGACTGCACGTTTGACTCATTGTCACTTTCTGTTTGAATATAGACAAGGTTAAACCAGTTCATACATGCTGAATTCGACCGTTGGCACTAATGTCTTCGTAATTACGACTCAAACATGTACAATACATATGTGGAGTCAATTAGAAATACAATTGTGTTGAAGAATTTTTTGAGCATCACTTCAATACGTCATAGGTTCTGGAGGTTTCTAAATATCAATGATAACGATTGCAATTTTTAACTGACATCTTTACCAATGTGCAGTCACGCGTTAGTGGACTGAAATTCCTTGGTAAATTCGTTCCGGTAGCTTCCTTTCCTTCCGCTCTAGGCAGTCCTCCCATCAGTAAGGCTTCTCGCAGTATTCCTCCCAACTTCTCAACATCCTCCGTTGAGGACACGCTCATCAAGCAGTCATCCACATAGAAGCTTCCTTTGGCGAGGTTGATTACGGCGGTGTCATAGTTTGTCATGTTACGCTCAACAGTTGTTCGTAGTGCCAGACTGCTGCAAGAATGCGGTGAATTTGTACCAAAGTGATGCGGGTTACTTCGATGCGTCCTTGGGTTGCTCGTTAGAACACCGTCGGACCACCAGGGAAAGCGTAAACAGTCATGGTCACTAACTGACACCTTCACTTGGAGAAACGCTGCTTTAATATCCGTAACAGGCTTGCAGTCACAAGGCCAGAACCTTGAAGAGACTCCGCAAAGGCCATCGACGAGGTTTGGACACGTGGGCAGCTGCTTAGTTAGTGAGTGGTTACCGAACACCCCGGCACAGCCACAAACAGCCTTCACACCATTCGAGTCACCATGCTTGTAGACTCCGCGATGAGGTAAAACCCATACAGCTCCAGTTGTTTTGGTTTGCTCCCCTTCGGGTACTACCTCAGCATAGCCCTTACTGGCATGGTCCTCTGGAGGAGCAATATACCTTTCTTTAAGCTCGGGGTCCTTCTCCAAATGTCGTTTGAGGAGCATCGATCTCCTTACAGCCAAGCCCATGTTGTCTGGTAGATTAGACTCCCCCTGTTTTCAGGGTAGTGACAGTTCGTAGTGTCCACTAACCAAACACATAGATTCGGTCATGTACCTCAGAGCTAACTTGTCGTCCTCAGATGATGCCCCTTTGGTACAAGCAGCCTCTGTAAATTCAAAATTGAACAGAGGTACCAATTCCTCCTGTACGCCTTCATCTCGGATGACGTGGTTCACGTTCGCCTGATGTTGGGGATTCGAGGTGACCGGTCCTAGGACTGTCCAACCAAGAGGACCTCTAACAGCATATGGATCTTCTGGCTTACCAGTCCGTTGCTCCAGTACCCAGTGAGCCTTCGGTACGTCAGTTCCAATAAGGATTTTCACGTTTGATCCATCAGTGGGTGGAAATGGAATCTGCTTCAGGTGATCCCAAGCCGTCCAGTCACAGTCGGAGGAGGTGATGGGCTTTATCTTTGGGAGCTCCTTTATTGCCCATGCTCGGCGAATCGGTAAGACCTCTTGACCATCGTGAGAGATCACCTCCAGCGATACCGGTGAGGCCATCGTCTCAGCTCTGCCATTTAGAGTAAGCCGGGTAGCTTCTCCAGACAGGCCGAGTTTCCTTTGTAACGAGCTGTCGATCAGGGTAGTGTCTGACCCATTGTCGAGGAAGGCATTGACAGTGATTTCCCCTGAGGGACCTCGGAGGCGGACCGGAAGCACAGCAAAGGAAGTTCCCGTCGTTGAACCAACTGTAAGGGACACGTGGCCAACAGAGGCGACGTTAGGTGGGGTTGTGGGGTCGTCTACCTTCTCACAGGGGGGGTCTGTCGGGTGTAACATAGGATGGTGACGGCCGTGACACCCGTTCAAGCCACAATCCTTTCGTGACCGGCAGTCTTG